AATTGCAGTAGACTTCGATACGTATGCAAAGCGAGCGCGTTTAACCAACTTCTCGCGGAGAATTTCCATTAGTCGAGAAAGTCCAGGGGACAATGGCGAGGACGCGCGGCGGCGGCGGCGGCGGCGGCGGCGGATTTCGGTGAACCGAGTACTAACGCGCGCGCGGAGGCCAGGACGCTTCTCGCCCGGGGCGGCGAGGATCGAGTCGTCGAACGATTTCGAATCAACGCGTCTGGTAGGGCGGATAATTCAATTTGAATATGCATGCGTACCACCGCCGGCAGGCCGCCGCCCCCCGAAAATCCGTGAGACGCGCACCCCGTTAAATCCGCGATTATTCGCGCGCCCGTTCGCGACCTTTCGCCCCGATACCGCGAGGAAGCGGCGCGACCCGTCCCGAAACGATTTTTCGGCGTTGCCGCGACACTGTAATTAACCGTCGACCCGCGAGCGAGCTGGGGTCGACCGCGGGACACCCCATGGAACTTTTTAAACGAATTATAATCCGACTAGATTCGTTACACGCGGAAATTCCGGGGACCTTGTTCCGTTGCGCCGACCGAGCGAAGGGCGCGGGAGGCGGCTCTCGGGTTCTTTTTTCAGCCGAACTTTCAAGACGAGTTTCACCGCGTTAAATGAACCCCTCGACTGATGAGCCTCGGCCTCGGAGGAGCCGCGGAACTTCCCGGACAAATGATAATCTGAATACATTTAATGCGAAGAACGGTTTTACCGCGGCAACGAAAATATTGGTGTAAGTTGGAATTTCAGCTGGGAGTTGAAAGGGTTCAACCAGGCCGCTCGCTTCGCGTGTTGCGGTATCTCTGAGTGGATTTATTAAATCATGATGCTGGGGAACGCGGCGAAAGTTCCGTCGGGCTTGATGCTTTCAAAGGAAATTCGGATGCATCGGCCAATTAATTCACTCGGGGAATTAGGCCGTGTTAGATAAAACTTCCGCTCGCGGCGAAGTGGTCCCGTCTCGTTCGAAGAACAATCGCGCGTAATTAAGTCCTCGCCGCGGGCTGCATCGATGAAACGCGAACGTCGCTCGTTCCTTTCGACCGTCGTTATCGATATCTAACGTTCAACGCAAACTCGCGATGAACACGCGATCCTGTGTTCTAAAAGGCCAACAACAATGGATTACTTTCGACGGTCGGTCTCGTTAAAAAAGCGACACACAATACGAGAGCGATTAATCGGTATCAAAGGTTCGAGCATCCGTACGTTCCGCGGAAGATACAGGCGAGTGTTTGTCAGCGCGGCTCACAAAGGGGTATAAGCCAGGGGGAGAGAGGACTCGGTCGTAAGAAGCGCGACGGTACGAGCGGTATCACGTGGATGCCGATAAATTGCTCGGGAAGCGACGAGCAGGGGTCAGGGGCGGAGTCGGAGTCACCGGGTTCACGCGCCTATCTCTGGCTCTTAAGAGGGTCTCCACGGGTCCATAACGAGGGGCGCGACGAGACCGAGAACGCCGCAGGGTCTGCGCTAAATTTATGCAAATGCATGCCGGCAATATTCTAAATAAGTAGCTTCACCCGTGACCCCGTACGTCTCGCGGCCGATATCTCGACGCTCTCTCTATCTCCCGCGTGTAAATTCAGCTCGGCTGGAACAACCGGGCGGCGGCCTGGCTGCTCGCTCGTGCCTGGCTGCTCGCTCGTACCGGGCCGACGCGTACCCGCGTGGGAGAGCTCGCGGCACCGTCTGCCGGCGACGACTACGGAACTACGACGTTTCAACGACTTTCGTGGCGAGGATCCAAAGCGCTTCGGCCATTGAACATCGTCAACGCGCGGCTGTGTAAATTTTCTACGAAAGAGTCCTGCTACTCTGTCTCTGCATCTCTGAAGAGACGAGTCGAGTCGTTCGCGTGCGCCTTTTGAAATTTTAATTCGGCAAAAGCGAAACGGCATGTCGAGCCGCGTGGGAGAAACGCGTAATCCTCGAGCGGGGGCGCGAGTGACGGCGCTCGGAACGCATTCGGTCGTCCGAGGAGAGCACTCTCGTGTCTTGTTTTCGCTCGAGCCGGATAAGTCCGGTCGAACGGCGGCGGCGGCGGCGAAGCGCGCGCGGCCCCCGCTCGTAACTGGCTTTTAACGCTAATAGTACTCTCAGACCCATTTAAAGAGCTTTTACGAAACGGAGAAGAACGCGGGAAGTTTAGTGCGTTCCGTGCTCGCGATCTTTTCACTGCGGCCCCCGCGATACCCGGGGCTGAGAAATTCAATTCGCCGGCCCGGCGCCGGGGACCGGCGTGTTTATTTTTACATTCTCTCCCGCGGGAGCGAGGTGCGTTAACGTCCGCCGGCGTTGGCTCCAATTCGCCGCGAGCGCACTCGATGGGGGAATATTTCGTTCGGCGCGACGGCGCGAGAGAAAAGGAGTTCGAACGCCGAGGGAAAACGTGTCGTTCGGTGGGGCCGGTTCGAGCGGGGAACGGAGCGGGCATAGATTAGAAAGGGTTCCCGACGCCGGCGGGTAACGGTGACGGCGATGGTGACGGCGGCGACGGAGGCGGCCGACGGAGCCAGGTGACACGCCACTCTAATCAGCACTCGGGGTCTTAACGCGGTTAATTGCGCTTCAATTAGCCGCCCTCGCCGGCGCGACTTTCTTGCTCTCGGCTCGCGGGAACTTTCGCAATCGTCGGCCACACTGTGCAATTAGCCGGCGAGTCCTCCCGTGCATTAAGACGAGCCGTAAAAACCGCGCGAAGATGTACGGCGGAAAATTACGCAAAGATAAAGTCCGAGTTATACCGTCGTTAGAGAGTGACGGATCCCCGGGCCGGAGGCCGCTCCGCGCGTTTCGCACGCTCCGGCCGGCTACTCGCAGAAAATTATACGCTGCGCGAGTCGATTCCCCGCGACCTTAATGCGCTCGAACAACTCTCCGCGTATCTTATCCGCGATGGGATCGGGGCTTTCACGCTTCTATTCCGTTTCTTCGCACTTCGAGCGTCGCGGACGAGTATTATTATGAATGATTATCATCGTTTGTCGGGCAATCAGCGAATACGGTTAGCACCGGCGAGGAAGCGTGCTATTCTTCGCGACGAGTCGATCGTCGCGACCTTAATACGCTCAACGAGCGATTCTTCGTAATCGGCTGTACGATGGTATCGGTGTTCCGCGCTTCTGTTTCTTAATTCTCCGAGTGCCGGGAACGTGTGTCATTATCAGTGATTACGAATACCGCTCGCGTAATTAGTCAACCGAGTTGATTCCGGTGAAAAGTGTATTATTCCCAGCGACGAGTCGATTCCGGCGACCTTAATGCGCTCGACGGCAACGGTTCGCGATCGTTTCCACAATGATACCGCTACTTCTATTTCGTTCCTTAACGATTTCTCAACGCCGCCGCTGAGAGAAAGGGTTCCAACGTGCTCGCGGAAACACGGGAAACCGACGGATGGAAATTCGATTCGAAGGTACGGCCGGCACTTGGCCGATATCGAGCGGTTCGCGCGGCGAAGAACGGCCTGGGAATAAATCACGGAATCAATTCCGATACGTAACCCGTGCCGCCATAAATAAAATGCGCTAGATATCGTAGATCGGCGCGCGGCGCGGCGCGGCGCGGCGAGCCGGTACACGGAAGAACGGGGAAACAAATGACAGACGCATAAGCGGGGAACGTTTCGAAAGTTGCTCCGTTCCGTGCCGTCGACACGAGTTGCGCGCGCGAAATTTGAAATTCAAAGTGTCCGGGGAACGTGTGTGCCCGCGCGCGAGCGCGCTCATGGGGCGGGTACCGATAAGAGTGCCGGGCTCCGCGCAAAAATACACATTAGCAGATTTGAAATTTAGATCTGGCTCCGGTCTTCTGGGCGAAATCGAGTAGCACGCCCTCGAAAACAGACCGATTTACGGCGCGGTTTGCCGGCGGCCTAACGAGCCTCTCGAAACGCAACGGCAACGTAGATCTGCCGCGCGGCTACGCGAAAGAAACTACTCGAGACGTCTGCGCCCCGAGACGCCGCGCAGTCTGTTTCGGCAATCTAAATGGACGAAAGCAACTGATGGTAGAACTCGTCGGGAAGAGCAACTGTTTCTTAGGAAACCGTGTATGATATGTAACGAAGTTAGTAACTTTACTGAACGGTTGAATTTGAGGAATTCAACATGTTGCGTACCGGTTAATTTATTAAATAATAATAATAATTATTATTATTATAATAATTATTTATATAATAATAATTATTATTATAATTATTTATATAATAATAATAATAATTATTATTATTATTATTTTTACTGAATTGTGACGGCAATTTTCAGTGAGATCTAGTTATATCATTATATATACAAACACTCAGATATCGTATTGTTATGTAATATACTTTAAATAGATAATCAATGCGAATCAAATTTTATTTTTCTTTAACACTAGAACTACCGAGCATTTAATACGATTAATATGCAATTCCTATAAAAATTGTAACAACAGAATATTTTCAGGATCTTCAGGCATTCATTATAGTACTCAAATGAAACTATTTTCAAAATCATTTCGGATATTCAATGCTTCGAAGATATTAATAATTGCTAAACAAAAAATCGAAACCAGTCATTTGGTACGGTAGTTCTAGTGTTAAATGCTGTGGTAATTAGCGAAGTTCATAGCTCAGTGTCTATACAGAAACGAGATTTCTCGTTACCAGTACGCAATGTGATTTGAGAAGCTCCTTTTTAGTTCTTTCGATAGTTATATGCAAACAAGAATGATAGAATTATGCAGAATAGATCAAATTGAAATTCATGCTTTCTATAAATCCTATGAACAATCCACCACAAAAATTCCTTGATTCAAGTTCCTGAATCTCCACAGATTTCAAGACATAAAACCCTATCTCCTAATTCTATACGAGCTCGAAGAATCAATAAAAATTCAGCAACAGGAACCAAGGAATGGGTCAGATTGCCCACGTTGCTCTACTCTCCACTTTTCCTTCGCCGGCCTTCGATGAGTCCGCGGGCGCTCGTACTTACTTGTCATGTATGTGATGTACTGCGTGTCGCTGATGTTCCCTGAAAGAAGCTGATTGAGTCGGGTCGCGTATCGTCGCGGAACGCCTCGCGTGCCTCGGAGCTAGCTCCGTTCTCGCCCGCTTCGGTCTCGCTCGCTCGAGTACAGGTTTCATCTCGGAATCGCGGAGAGTCCGCGACGTTTAACGACGTTTCGATGCAACCGAGATGCACGTCGGTCGAGCGGCGGCGGATACGCACCGCGGCAACGCAAATGAACTTTCGCGGAACAATGTTGCTCGGCGTGTAATAACGCGGCGGAGATATCGGATTTCCTGCTCTATCTCGCGGCGAGCTGTGTACCGGCTCGCGCGGATACAAGCGGAATACACGCGCTCGTTCTCCACGGCGAACACCGTTAAACCGTCCCGATCTTTCTCCCCTGACGTCGACCTATTAGTTGAATGTTTCACCGATTTTTTTCCTTTGCCCGAGATAGGGCAGCTCCTCGATAACTCCCGGATCGAGGCCGCGCGCCCTCGACATTTTTCTTCGCGAACAGCTGGCCATGCATCTTCAAGCCTTTGAAAAATTCCCTGCCCCGGACGGCCGTCGGCTTTGCCTGTCCCCGATCCGGGGCGCGTGTCCGTTGCCGGGACAAACATTGATTGCCGGCAACCCGGCGAACACGGACGCGGAAACGTATGGAATCCTCTCCCGCGCCGGGGAGATACGAGATGATACGAGATTCTACCAGCCTTCTCCGCGAATACTGAATCTCCTTTCAGTGTTTACGTCATTTGGAAATCTGCGATCAATCAGTCTCGCGTTTCACTCTTTCGATGGTACGTCGACTGTAGTTGTATATTGGATATGCATGTGACTAACTAAGATAATCGCCCTTTCATTTATTAGATGCTTGTCTCTTTGGATATGCAGCTTCAGTGTTTCAATTATTGGTAATTATTACTGAAAGTTCTTGTTGAGAAAATTTCTTTTCAATATTGAAGCAACTATGCGAGTGTCATGAACAGAACGTAGCGAAATGGTAGGTTAAGCTGCGATTAACACGTTAAACGCCATGAAAATAACACATTGCATGCCGGCCCCGCGACAATGCGGGATTTTTAGTCTACCGTTTAATTGCTAGTCCTACATTAATGTAACAGTTTAGATGTGTATAACACAAATCCAAACTAAAATGACAAAATCGAGTTCCTTATTCTTTTTCGCAAGTTACAAATTTCGGTTTGATTGATGTTTAAAAGTATATGAATACAATCACCGATACTCCCGTTTCTAGTAGCTGAAATTTAGCCAGCGTTCAATGTGTTAAAAGTTTTCCTTTTGTAGCAAAGAAAAGCATTAAGTATTTTACAATGTTTGCATTATACATCGGTTATCTTGTATGTTACGACTGTCTTCTAGTCACTCACAAGCGTCAGTCACCGGTGATATGGCGCTTAACGTGTTAAAGAAACGTGGATCAGAGCTACATCTACAACAGTCGCGTGGTGTATTCTACCAAGAGGAATAACCGCCATTCTAAAAAAGAATAGAAACTCATATCACTTGTTAACACTAGGTTTATGGAACGCGTCAAATTGATGCATATTGGATTTTAGAAATATTATTTTGTAAATGTCTACGCCGATTTTGATTGATGCGATCACACTGACATGTACCCCAATGACCTACTATCAAATCTCTAGTTTCCACAATCTAAATAAACGAGCATCAATTCTTTTAGGAATAATAGAATGAAGTGTACAATAAATGCTCGTAAACCTAGTGTTAATCAATCGCTAAACTCTTCCCCACCTAAACTTCCGCTTCTAAACTACAAACCAGAAGCTTCGCAGCTTCGAAACTATCTAAGCAATTCTTGTATATTCCAAACCCTTTCCTCACGCTGTCTCGCAACAGCCGAGTTACTCAGCGCAGCAACATTCCTCCGAGCGGAGCGAAGAAGACGGGAAGGAACGAACAACCCGCGAGCAGACATTTAAACGGACCACCGTATCGCCGCCATTACCGCGAAAGCACGTCGACATCGCGGTCGACGATCCGCACGTAACATGGCCGACCTATATACCAGCCACGAGGAGCGTGCCAAAGAGAGAGATTCGTATCGCGATCACGGTTGCGAGAGAGCTCGGCCCGAGCGTGAGCTACTTTCGCCGGTAGACCGACCGACCGACCGACCGACCGACCGACCGACCGACCGGTTGGAGAACGATTCCGCTCGGCTCGGTTCGGTATTTATTTTTCATCGGGACCCTTAGCCCACGCGCTGCTGCATCGAATTTGACACTCCGGAAACATTCTCGACTTCTACCCCATTTTCATATTCCGAACGAACTTCATGAACTTCATGAACGAACGACAGGTCGAGTCGAGTCCTAAATGGAGCGCGATTTACGTTCGCTCCCCGTGTTTTTCGGCAGCTTTTTCCCCGGAGTTGGATGATTCCGCGCGCGTTTTTGTCAGCCGACGAGCGGCGCAGCGCGAGCTGAATACAGGGAACGGTGTATTACGCGGAAAATCCCTTTCCGCCGCATCCGGGGCCGTGAATCGCCGCATTTACACTCTGATTTATACCGTAACCCGTCAACCCCACCTTTAAGGAGCGCGCTCGAACTCTTCGCTCGGCGGGCATAATGCAGTGAAAGATCTGGGCCCGTTTAGTTACGCTGCATCCGCGTCGTTGGAATTTATTGCCACTGTCCGTGGGTACGTAACGTCTCTCCTCGCGCTCGCCTCCGGGAGCTTCAGCATATTATACCAGGTGTCCGGGGATGATTGATTCACCTTTGCCGATGAAACGCGGCAACTGCGAAAGCCTACTGCTGTGATAGTGGCTACGTATTTATCGGACGTCGCCGTTGACACCGCGGGAGAAGGATGAAAGAAGTGTCTCGATTAATGTGGGAAATGCAGAGGTTCTTTGGTCGCACACCAAGATCCCGAGGACGCGTTGAGAGCTTCCGAACTGAGCGCAATAAGATTGATGTGTGATTAACCCTTTGCGAAGATTCTTCGAAACATACAAACCTTCAACGTATGAAGCTAAATTATATATCAATTGCTTAATTAACCTTCTATGTGCCGAATTTTTGTTCGTGATTATAACAAAATATATGCAGCACAAAATTAATAAATATCCACATATGAATACAAATTAACAATGTGTTCAATACTTTCAATAGTTTCATCAAACGAATATATTTTGTAACTTTCAAGATACAATGACGTTAAACTTTCACGCCTGAGTGTATAAAAGTTTAAGTTAACTGATTACTTAATTTTATTCACTACTTTGAGTGCAGAATGAAATAAATCAACAAGATGTCAATATACCGATATGTAACTTCAAAGTTACGTGGGCCTACAGAGGGTTAATAGAAAGAAAGAAAACTATGTGCTGATCTCTTGCTGTTCTATTAATTAGATCATTTTTCCACTTAGTCTTCCAAATCTGAACATTTCATCTCACCGAAATGCCGTCATCCGTCCATAAAGGGTTAAGATATCTATCGATGTTAACAAGTGGATAATGTGAATTACCAGCAATTCATTCGATTATCATTCTTCTTCGTACCGAAAGAATCGCAGGTATCATATGAAACGCGGTAAAATCTCGCGGCAGTAAACGTTAACGAATCGACGTCCAGCGGAAACCACCCCCATCGCGCGCAAATAATTATTCGGGGGTTTAGATAATGTACCCAGGTTATTTCACGCACGCTGAATCTCCTCCGCGTCATCATTATTCGCGTATCGCCGGTTCCTCCTTTTTCCCGCAGGTTTTTCGCAGCGCGGCGCGGTCGTTCATCTTTTTCCATCCTTTCCCGGGCGCGCTAATGATTGAGCGTGTAATAATGCCGTGGAATTATTATGATTTTCCGGGTGGAACGGGAAATCAGCACGAAAACCCGCCGGTATCGGCGATTAAAGATTAACGAACGGTTAAGTGGAGAGAGCGACGGCGGCGGCGGGATGCAGGCGGCCCTCGAAACAAGCGCGGGGCTGGCTAACTGCGGGACGCGTGTTTAATCGAGGCGCTGAAAAAGGATCGACCCGCCGGGGCCAGGCGTGTTTTCGAACGACACGGAATAATTCACGGGGAAACTGGCAACGCGGCTACGTTACGATTCGTCGGGGCATTCGCGGCAATAATTAACGGCGCTCTCGAGCGGAGCGTAAATAAAAGTTCGGCGAACGCGGAATCGATCGGGGCCGGGGCGCCGCCGCACGGAACGGGGGGGGCGCCGCTTGTAATTTTTATTATCGGCCGATCGTGGTATTTTCAATCTTTACAGCCGCCCAGAGAGAAACACCGATAGAGCGGAATAGGGGCGAGGCGGGGACGAGCCGATACGAGAAAGAGAGGAGAGAACAGAGAGTGCAGGATACGCTCGCGTTGACCAGTCGAGCGAAACGCTGCCGCGACCATACGGGCGCCGCACTCGACGCGGTCCAACGAGGCGGACGTGCGACAAGCAGCGGTTCCGCGTCGCGAAGAGCAACGATTTCGATTGAATTTTCGCCGCGGCCCGATAGAAAATAAATGGCCGGACGAGGAAAGGCGTGGGAGGAGAGACCCGATTGCCCACGGACCGGATTAATTTCGCCGGAATCGCGGCCGCGAGCCTGAAATCACGTTTAACGTCCGCCTGTCCAGCGGTCCGGGCGGCCGGCTGCGGGTGGACGCGGTCTAGAGGATGGGTTCCTCATGGGGATCGTGATCTACGGCATTGCCATGGACGCCGGGGAGCGTAGGGGCCAAACCCGCACGAATCCGTGACTTTGCGGCGCGCCCCGTGCCAGACGCGATTGCTCTTAAAGGTCCGGCCGTTATTATTTGGAAAACTACCGGGAACTGGTCCCAACCACCACACGCACGATAAAACTCGGCGTAACCGTTCGGACGTGTATCGACCGGCATCGTAGGACGTTCGTACCGTTCCGGCAATTCTTTCGCGGCTGACGCGCGCTCGACTATCCCCGTGATTCCCCGGTATCCGGCTCTCCGATCAACCGGCTATTCCCTTTACATATCC